CTAAAGCTTAAGTCCAAAACTAAAAAATCATATTAATTCCTGCCATTAACCTTATAATTAATCTTTTGTTTCCAGCGGGTCTCTGTGAGCCCTACTCCTGCGTATCCCACGGCTTCGACCGCGCCTCCCCCCTCAAAGTCGGAGAGAAGATTCTCATTCTTGGAGCTGGTATCATTGGTAAGGGAACAATCCTTACCTACTTTATTTTTATAATACAAGTAGCAAATGAGCAGATGTAACACATGATGATAAGCAATCGTCGTCGCCCATGGACACCTGAAACACTGGAAGAGTTACAAACTAGTCTCTGAGTTTGTCGCGGAGACCCTAACGGGTAACCGGGGCTCCGGCTCCACGCGACGTGCAGGAGAAGGAACGGGGTGGTTTTTAGTCAGTAAGAGTATGACACACCCTCCCGCCTCACCCGGGTGGGAGAGGTCATTCGATGATTTTCCCCTCTTAAAAAGTCTCTGAGTTTGATAATATTATGTATACTACAATTAATATTATTTTCCGCGTTCCAGGTAACCTCTGGATTACCACCCTGCACCACCACGGACACAGGGAAGTCACTGTATCCGAGATGAACCTGACAAGGCTGGACATCGTCAAGCGATTGGGTAAGATTATCATATCATTATCAACACTATGAGAATCTCCTTCTATGAGTGTCTATGAGTCTCCTTTACGTTAAGTAATACTTTTTTTTATGGCATAAGCCTGTAAACGAGCAAACGGATCACCTGATGGTAAGCAATCGGCGCCGCCCATGGACACCCGAAACACCAAGGCGTTACAAGTGCGTTACCGGCCTTTTGGGAATTGGGATTTTGAGTATTATGGAGGATTCGGGGATTCGGGAGACGGGGACTAGGGAGGGGGTTAATTAGGCCTCCGGTAACCTCACTGACACGATGAAACACAACGCAAGCGTTGTTTCACGTCGGTTTTCTGTGAGGCCGTGGTATCACTCCAGTCGAGCCGGCCCATTCGTGCCGAAGCATGGCTCTCCCACTTAAAGATTATATGTTATGAGTATGAGTCTCCTTTACATAAGTAAAACTATATTATTAAAAGCTCCTTGATTAGTAGACTGGGCAAAGATTGCAGTTAAAAGGTTCAGTTTTATGTAATTTTTGCTATACATAATTATAGATACTAGCTAATTTCCTCGTTGGCCGAGTGATCGTAAGTGCTACTGCCGGGCAAGCGGTCTTGGGTTCGATTCCCGGGTCGGTCAAAGTATTACTGGGTTTCTAAAAAATCTCAGTGGTAGCACGGAGTCTGGAATCGTGCCCGGTATATGGCAATAGCCTCTAACATAAAATAGTGAAAAGTGGGTGTTACATGGTACAGTGGCATTAGGCTTGCCAGACCGCCGGGAAATCCGGGATTGTCCCGGAATCTTGCCTCTTGTCCCGTGTCCAGGAATTAGCGCTCATTGTCCCGGATTTTGAAAAGTTATTATTTTTTAACAAAATAAACTAGCAACGAATGGAATGACATGGCTACCGGTGAGCGAGTGTGAGCGAGCTTACTAACAAAACATTATGTACCAAAAAGCAAGGTACCGTTTGTTTTTTAAGTTAGGAATTTATTGTTAGAAGATTTATTTAAGGTACATAGTATCTTATTATTATTGTTTTGTTTTCTTCAGTTTATTACTATTTAATTTGTAATTTAGTAATTGTCTACCAAAGTTTTAATTTACCAATTTAAGCTAATATACATACCTACAGCTAATAAAAGTATGTTTTTTGAAAAAATGGCATTTCATCTTTTAAATATAAATATGAATCCTTTGAAAATAAAAAAAAATATATGATATTTTCTATTATGGCCACGACCCGACATTGTTTTTTTATTTTTTTTAGAACTGTCCCGGATTTGATAAGTTCCTATCTGGCAACCCTAAGTGGCATTGAGTGCCGTAATGTGCACTACTGCTTACCCCTTCGGAAATAAAAGACGTAATGTTATGTTGAATAGATACCAATATTTTCTTCACGTTTCAGACACCGGCTTCAGGCTAGTCACACCCGACGTCTTGGCTAATGAGAAGATCACATATGACGTCATCATCGACTGCACAGGTAAATAATACAAATACGGTTAACGCTTTTCAAAATCTTATTCTTTTATTGACTTGACCCAACATTTTCCTGGTCCTACATCTAGAACATTGAAGGGTATTGTCAGATTCTTAACTAGCGACCCGCCCCAACTTCGCACGGGTGCAATATGCATGTATTATATATTTAACCTTCCTTATGAATCACTCTACCTATTAAAAAAAAAACCGCATCAAAATAATAATTTCTATGTTGTAGGTGCCTGAATAGGCATGGCGACTATTTTTTAATTTTTTGTCCGTCTTTTAGATATTTTAAAAATCTTCGATACGTATTTTTTCTTTTTTCTCGTATCCAAAAATACATGTAGATATTTTGAGTTGAAATGACGCGTGACGTCACACTTAGGTACGATTTCTCCGTAAGTGTGACGTCAACACCCCCCACTCCCTAACTTTAATGCGGAATAACTACGTATTCTTCTGTTAATTTGATAAAACAAAAAATACGTGTCTGATATTTTCGTGCGATCTTAATGACGGACTAATTACTTTTTTGATTTTTTTACCCTGTCGACACGCCTATTACTATCCTGTTTATATTTTAATCAAATTCTTTGCGTTACCAGGCGTGGGTAAGGTGATGGAGATCTCCTTCAACTACCTGAAGGAGGGCGGAAAGTACGTGCTGTTCGGATGCTGCCCCCCTACACATACCACTTCGTAAGTATTCACAGTCAACAATCTCTTAGAGATGGGGATAGGATATGAAAATGAAAAATATATTTAGTCTGTCAGTTACATAATGAAAAAATATTAGACACGTGTTTTTTATAATAACTATCGTGAGACATACTAAATTAACTAAAAATCGCGGGTTACTCACGTGAATATACTGAGAAAAGCTCTACTAGTTACGAGTCGCGCGGTCAGGCGCGCGTGCCTGACGTCACTACGAGTCGCGCGGTCGTAGTGACGTCAGGCACGCTGCTCATGAGGAAGAACCCTACTCGAACTACACTCAAACTAGTAGTATTCAGTAGTAGTAGTAGTAGTCAATATTTTCTCTTGAGTAATTTATGTATTTTTTATTTTGTCTTACAAAAAACAATACTTAGATAAAACGAATCAAGTTTAGGAGTGGGGCCTAAAACGTCATTTCTACGTATAAAATGTACATAGAAGTGACGTCACGCGACATTTCAAATCAATATACCGTCGGAAGTGTTTGCTTGTGTAAGAAAATAAAAAATACGTGTCTAATGTTTTAAAACAATCTACCAGAGAGACATTAAAGTAAAAATTGTCACCTACTCTTCTGTATTGTGATAAACCGCCTCTTTGTAGCCAAAATGGATGCTATCAGTAACCGGTCTAACGTCCAGATCTTTGAATACTAAAGTTTCTAGCAAAAACTCAATTAAAGTAACATCAAAAACTGAATCTTAACTAAAAGATTTTCGACTGAACCGATTCTGATGCGGATTTCAGGACAATGTTTATTACACTTTTTAAGGGGAGGGGGGGAGAATCATCGAATGACTTCTTCCGCCTGGATGAGGCGGGAGGGAGTGTCAGACTCTTACTGACTAAAAACCACCCCGTTCCTTCTGCTGCACGTCGAGCCGGAGCCGCGGTTACCCGTTAGGTTCTCCGCGACTCCGGTTTATTGGACTTAGGATAAGGTTTTAGTATATTAATTAACCGACTTCGATAAAAGAGGGGGTTTGAAGTTGGTTTTTTAGACGCTGTTTAGACAAGAATTATTTTTATAATGAAACGGGGTATCATAATCAAGAAAGATAACCTTAAACGTCAGAATATCACAGTCCATTTTGTAGAATATCAATTACAATTTGTATTTTTATTTTTATTTTAGCCTGAATCCCTTCGATATTTACAACAAGGAGCTGACTATCATCGGAGTGAAGATCAATCCCTTCAGCTTCCCCAGCGCCATTAGCTGGCTAAAGGCTATGGGCAGCAGGTAATTACAATCTTATTGGAGATTTTTTTTCTTTTATTTAATTCTGGATACTTCTTTGGTGGTAATTCGTAAGCGTGACTGCCAAGCTGACACATTCAGACTCAGCGGAACAATTTTTTTAACATAACATAACATAACATCACGCCTTTTATCCCCGAAGGGATAGGCTGAGGTGCACGTTATGCCACTATATAATGTAACACTGTATAATATTTTTTTTTGTCATTAATTTACCGTGTATAATTTGTATAATTTACCCGCGTTTTCGCTCGCGTCACAAAAGGATAAAAAGTAGCCTATGCGACATATACCAATACACACAGCGCCATCTATACCAATACTTTCGTTTTCCTTTGGGAATATCAAATTTTTCCGGGATAAAAAGTACCCTATTATTTAATCCCGACTTCCAACTTTACGTCTGCAAAAATTCAAAGCAATCGGTTTAGTAGTTACGGCTTGAAAGCAGAACAAACAAACAAACTCACTTTCCGATTTATAATATTAGTAAGGATATCTCGACGGAGCGATGTTGTGGTACATTTTTTGTGTGAATATAATTAGAAGATAGGAGTTTAAAATCCCTTCAACTATGCGGACAAAGCCGTGGGTAACATAAACATCCCATGACAGTCCACTGCTGGACAATAGGCGTGTCGACAGGGTAAAAAAATCAAAAAAGTAATTAGTCCGTCATTAAGATCGCACGAAAATATCAGACACGTATTTTTTGTTTTATCAAATTAACAGAAGAATACGTAGTTATTCCGCATTAAAGTTAGGGAGTGGGGGGTGTTGACGTCACACTTACGGAGAAATCGTACCTAAGTGTGACGTCACGCGTCATTTTAACTCAAAATATCTACATGTTTTTTTGGATACGAGAAAAAAGAAAAAATACGTATCGAAGATTTTTAAAATATCTAAAAGACGGACAAAAAATTAAAAAATAGTCGCCATGCCTATT